GGGACTATGTGAAAAGACAAAACATGTTTCATTGGTGTACCGGAAAGTGATGGGGAAAATGGAACCAAGTTAGAAAACACTCTTCAGGATATTATCCAGGAGAACTTCCCTAACCTAGCAAGGCAGGCCAACATTCAAATTCAGGAAATACAGAGAACACCACGAAGATACTCCTTGAGAAGAGCAACCCCAAGACACATAATCATCAGATTCACCAAAGTTGAAATGAAGGAAAAAATGTTAAGGGCAGCCAGAGAGAAAGGTCAGGTTACCCACAAAGGGAAGCCCATTAGACTAAGCAGATCTCTTGGCAGAAACACTACAAACAAGAAGAGAGTGGGGGCCAATATTCAACATTTTTAAAAAAAGAATTTTCAACCCAGAATCTCATATCCAGCCAAACTATGCTTCAGAAATGAAGGAGAAATAAAATCCTTTACAGACAAGCAAATGTTGAGAGATTTTGTCACCACCAGGCCTGCCTTACAAGAGCTTGTGAAGGAAGCACTAACCATGGAAAGGAACAACTGGTACCAGCCACTGCAAAGACATGCCAAATTGTAAAGACCATCAATGCTATGAAGAAACTGCACAATTAATGAGCAAAATAACCAGCTAATATCATAATGACAGGATCAAATTCAAAGATAACAATATTAACCTTAAATGTAAATGGGCTAAATGCCCCTATTAAAAGACACAGACTGGCAAATTGGATAAAGAGCCAAGACCCATCGGTGTGCTGTATTCAGGAGACCCATCTCACATGCAAAGATGCACATAAGGCTCAAAATAAAGGGATGGAGGAAGATCTACCAAACAAATGGAAAGCCAAAAAAAAGCAGGGTTGCAATCCTAGTCTCTGATAAAACAGACTTTAAACCAACAAAGATCAAAAGAGACAAGGCCATTACATAATGGTAAAGGGATCAATTCAACAAGAAGAGCTATATGTATATATGTGTGTGTATATATATATGTTATATATATATAACATAATATATATGCACCCAATACAGGAGCACCCAGATTCATAAAGCAAGTCCTTAGAGACCTACAAAGAGACTTAGACTCCCACACAACAATAATGATAGAGTTTAACACCCCACTGTCAATATTAGACAGATCAACGAGACAGAAAGTTAACAAGGATATGCAGGACTTGAACTTAGCTCTGGACCAAGCGGACATAATAGACATCTACAGAACTTTCCACCCCAAATCAACTGAGTAGACTTTCTTCTCAGCACCACATTGCACTCATTCTAAAATTGACCACATAATTGGAAGCAAAACACTCCTCAGCAAATGTAAAAGAACAGAAATCATAACAAACTGCCTCTCAGACCACAGTGCAATCAAATTAGAACTCAGGAGTAAGAAATTAACTCAAAACTGCACAACTACATGGAAACTGAACAATCTGCTCCTGACTGACTACTGAGTAAATAACGAAATGAAGGCAGAAATAAAGATGTTCTTTGAAACCAATGAGAACAAAGACACAATGTACCAGAATCTCTGGGATACATTTAAAACAGTATGTAGAGGGAAACTTAAAGCACTAAATGCCCACAAGAGAAAGGAGGAAAGATCTAAAATCGACACCCTAACATTACAACTAAAAAAACTAGAGAAGCAAGAGCAAACAAATTCAAAAGCTAGCAGAAGACAAGAAATAACTAAGATCAGAGCAGAATTGAAGGCCATAGAGACACAAAAAACCCTTCAAAAAAATCAATGAAGCCAAGAGCTGGTTTTTTTGAAAAGATCAATAAAATAGACTGCTAGCAAGACTAACAAAGAAGAAAAGAGAGAAGAATGAAATAGATGCAATAAAAAATGATAAAGGGGATATCACCAGCAATCCCACAGAAATACAAACTACTATCAGAGAATACTATAAACACCTCTATGCCAATAAACCAGAAAATCTAGAAGAAATGGATAATGTTCCTGGACACATACACACTCTGAAGACTAAACCAGGTAGAAACTGAATCTCTGAATAGAGCAAGAACAGGTCCTGAAATTGAGGCAATAATAGCCTGCCAAGTAAAAAAAGTCCAGGACCAGACAGATTCACGGTCGAGTTCTACCAGAGGTACAAAGAGGAACTGGTACCATTCCTTCAGAAACTTTTCCAATTGATAGAAAAAGAGGGAATCTTCTCTAACTCATTTTATGAGGCCAGCATCCTCCTGATACCAAAGCCTGGAAGAGACACAACAAAAGAGAATTTTATGCCAATATCCCTGATGAACACTGATGCAAAAATCCTCAATAAAATACTAGCAAATTGAATCCAGCAGCACATCAAAAAGCTTATCCAGTTGGCTTCCTCCCTGGGATGCAAGGTTGGTTCAACATATGCAAATCAATAAATGTAATCCATAACATAAACAGAACCAACAACAAAAATCACAAGATTATCTCAGTAGATGCAGAAAAGGCCTTTGACAAAATTCAACAGCCCTTCATGCTAAAAACTTTCAATAAACTAGGTATTGATGAAATGTATCTCAAAATAATAAGAGCTATTTATGACAAACCCACAGCCAATATCATACTGAATGGGCAAAAACTGGAAGAATTCCCTTTGAAAACTGGTACAAGACAGGGATGTCCTCTCTCACCACTCCTATTCAACATAGTGTTGGAAGTTCTGGCTAGGGCAGTCAGGCAAGAGAATGAAATAAAGGGTATTCAATCAGGAAGAGAGGAAGTCAAATTGTCTCTGTTTGCAGATGATATGATTGTATATTTAGAAAACCCCATCATCTCAGCCCAAAATCTCCTTAAGCTAATAAACAACTTCAACAAAGTCTTGGGATACAAAATCAATGTGAAAAAACCACTAGCATTCCTATACACCAATATTAGACAAACAGAGAACCAAATCATGAGTGAACTCCCATCACAATTACTACAAAGAGAATAAAATACCTAGGAATCCAATTTACTAGGGATGTGAAGGACCTCTTTAACCAGAACTACAAACCATTGCTCAATGAAATAAAGAGGACACAAACAAATGGAAGAACATTCTATGCTTATGGATAGGAAGAATCAATATCATGAAAATCACCACACCGCCCAAGATAATTTATAGATTTAATGCTATTCCCACCAAGTTACTGCTGACTTTCTTCACAGAATTGGAAAAAACTACTTTAAAATTCATATGGAACCAAAAAAGAGCCTGCATAGCCAAGACAATCCTAAGCAAAAAGAACAAACCTGGAGGCATCATGTTACCTGACTTCAAATTATACTACAAGGCTACTTAACCAAAACAGCATGGTACTGGTACCAAAACAGAGATATAGACCAATGGAACAGAACAGAGGCCTCAGAAATAACACCACACATCTACAACCATCTGATCTTTGACAAATCTGACAAAAACAAGCAATGGGGAAAGGATTCCCTATATAATAAATGGTGCTGGGAAAACTGGTTAGCCATATGTAGAAAGCTGAAACTGGATCCCTTCCTTACACCATATACAAAAATTAACTCAAGATGGATTAATGACTCAAATGTAAGACCTAACACCATAGAAACCCTAGAAGAAAACCTAGGCAATACCATTCAGGACATAGGCATGGGCAAAGACTTCATGACTAAAACACCAAAAGCAATGGGCAACAAAAGCCAAATAGACACATGGGATCTAATTAAACTAAGAGATTCCACACAACAAAAAGGAAACATCATTGCAGAGCGAAAGAGGCAACCCTACCAGATGGAGGAAAATCTTTGCCAATCTACCATGCAGGAATCAAGAAGGCTCAATATTCAAAATCTACAAAGAACTTATAACAAATTACAAGGAAAAAAACAAATAACCATCAAAAAGTGCAAAGTTATGAACAGACCACTTCTCAAAAGATGACACTATAGCAGCAAACAAGATCATTGAAAAAAATGCTCATCATCACTGGTCATCAGAGAAAGTAAATCAAAACCACAATGGAGATTAACCATATCATGCCAGTTAGAATGACAATCATTAAAAAGTTAAGAAACAACAGATACTGGAGAGGATGTGGAGAAATAGGAACACTTTTACACTATTGGTGGGAGCGTAAATTAGTTCAACCATTGTGGAAGACAGTGTATGGTGATTCCTCAAGGATCTAGAACTAGAAATACCATGTGACCCAGAGATCTCATTACTGGATATATACCTAAAGGATTATAAATCATGCTACAATAAAGACACATGCACACGTATGTTTATAGTGGCACTATGCACAATAGGAAAGACTTGGAACCAACCAAATGTCCATCCATGATAGACTGGATTAAGAAAATGTGGCACATATACACCATGGAATACTATGCAGCCATAGAAAAGGAATGAGTTAATGTCCTTTGCAGGGACATGGATGAAGCAGGAAACCATCAATCTCAGCAAACTATCACAAGGACAGAAAACCAAACACCACCTGTTCTCACTCATAAGTGAACAATGAGAACACACGGACATAGGGCAGGGAACGTCACATGCAGGGTCCTGTTGGGGGGTGGGGGGCTGGGTGAGGGATAGCATTAGGAGAAATACCTAATGTAAATGATGAGTTGACGGGTGCAGCAAACCAACATGGCACATGTATACCTATGTAACAAATCAGAGCGTTGTGCACATGTACTCTAGAACTTAAAGTATAATAATAATAAAAAAGACTTACAACCAACAGAGAGTTTGAAGTATATTTAAATTAAAAGTATTATTTAAAAATTCTAAAAACAAAGGAAAAACTTCACTGGCATTGTAAAATAGCACATGGGAAAAAAAACCCCTCTCAATTTGCTAAGTCAATATTCTTATAACTGATGTTGCTTATATGTCGTTGTTAGACCTGAGAGTGGAAGGAAATAATTTGTAGTTATTGTTATAATGAAAAAACTGCAATTATCTAAAGATTCCTACCATTTTCTCACTACTCTTTAAGCACATTTATTCATTATAATGTAAAGGAAGGTATCCTTACTTGTGGTCTCACCATTTATTTCTTTAAGTTCATTGTTGATTCCAACATCTATGGAACTCATTATTTTGTCAATCTGTAAGAAACAAAAACCATTTAAATGGATTGTTACATTCACTTTTAACATTGCATTTGAAAATAACTTTCAAATGAAGGGAGCAAATAGTTTTGATGTTCCCCAGTTAAGAGACGGATAGAGAAAGATTTAAAGGGAAGCAAACATCTTTGGAATTGTTTTATTACAATGCAAAGTATGTTCCCTTCCTTAAACTTTCAAAATTAGCTTGCCTTTTCTTTGTGTTTCTTGAAATAAACTTTGTACTTGGATAGATTGGTCATTTAGGAACTGTGTACTCTTCAAACTCAGAAGGGCTGTAGGTAAATTCATGTGACAAAGTCTTTCCTCTCTGGCATCCTTCTTCTGCCTAAGAACATGCATCCCATCTAACTGGTAAAGGAGCGGGTTTCAGGGTGTGGAGAGCATGGCCACAGGAGCAAAGTTTTTTGTTTTTTGTTTTGACGGAATCTCACTGTGTTGCCTAGGCTACAGTGCAGTGGCACCATCTCAGCTCACTGCAACCTCTGCCTCCCAGGTCCAAGTGAGTCTTGTGCCTCAGCCTCCCAAGTAGCTGCGATTACAGGTGTGTGCCACCACACCTGGGTAATTTTTGTGTTTTTAGTAGAGACGGGGTTTTGCCATGTTAACCAGGATGTTTTTGAACTGCTGGCCTCAAGTGATCTACCTGCCTCGGCGTCCTAAAGTGCTGGGATTATAGGCATGAGCCACCATGCCTGGCCTGGAGCTAAGTTCTAACCAAATGGTTTGACCAGCCACAAGCTGATTAGTGGCATCCAATCACCAGCATCTAGGCACGAAAACAACTTAATTATAAGATCTCAGCTAAATGTTAATTAATCTTGCCTCTACAAAAGGATTTCAGATGTTATTCACTAAATTAATAAATAAAAGAAATGGCTATACTTGAAAAAATTACCGTCTACAAGTATGAAATTTAAAGGAAGATATGACTGTCTAAGCTATAGCAATTTGGGGCTTAATGCCTCTCTTGATGCTAGCAACCTGAATAAGACAGCAGGTTTCAAAAAGGACAATGGACATTACTTAAATGTCCCAGTTTATTCACCCTGAAACAGATGCAGAGATATTAAGCGATTTTCTCAAACAGCTCAATTCAGAATATCACTATCAGATCATATCCATTTCTAGTTCTCCAAATACTATAATGATCCATTGTGCTTCTAAACCTAATCTAACTGGTACAGTCTTTTCAGAGACAATATGTGATGTGTTAGAATGAAATACCAAGAGAGACTGTATGAAATTAAAGACTTTGTCTTTAAGTAGAACTTAAATTGGTGATATTTGAACCTCAAGCATTTTTTTCTTTATTTCCCTGATAGCTGCAAAAGGGAAATATCAAATGATGTGTGTTTATTGTGTGGTGGTTGGAGAAGAGCTGGGACGCTTTATTTACCATGAAGATTCTAAGGAGCTCTTCTGAAAATATAAGATACTTTAAAGAAGGGAGACAAGCTAACAAAGAGTTTGGCAAGTAGCAAAACAACACAGAGAAAAATACCAAGCTTTTTCTCTATTTGTCAGCTGCAGTGCTTGGTAGGACAAGATGTGAATATTCTCTTGTACCTCATAGCTAGTTATTACTTCTGCTTGATATCAATTTCTATGGAAACAATAGATTAACCTACATGTCTGGAACTGTGTTTGTTTTTATACTTGCTGTGAAATTACCATGCATTACCCACAGAACCATTTCATTCCAGTTGGAGCTGTGTGCATTTTTTTTGTTTGCTTTTGAAAGACCTAAAAAGCTGAAAATCCTTCCCCCAAACCTCCCTTGACTCCAAAGCCTTATAGGATGAACAGCAAGAAGAACAAAGCTTACTTCTTCCCATTCCGATGTGAAGGATGGTGTTCTTTCAGAATTCCCTTTAGAACTGTGTTCAGCAGTGGAAGATTCACTCCAGTTAACTCTTGATGTTTTCTCATTGGAAGGATAGGCAATGAGATCAGAATCAGATTTAGAGACATTTTTTGACAAATGCATGTCGATCAAGGCTTTAGGCAATGACCTTATTCTCCCCAGAGTACAGGCTCTCTCCACAAATCCCCCTGTATTCATAACCCACTGGTCCCCATTCCGAGATCCACTCCTGGTTGATCTTGTGCCAACAATGGTATGGTTTTCAAGTTGGTTGCTTTTTTTGTGAAAAATTGTTCTACTGACCACTTTGGGTTTAATTTTCTTTACCAAAGGTTCTGAGTTATTTTCTATTGGAGACTGCTTGAAAGGCAAAGGACTGTTTGCCAAACTGACTTCATCTTGTCCTTTTTCACATTGTTCTCTTTTCCCATAGAGGTGAAATGGATTTTCAGGGGACTCACAGGCTGGAGAGGATCCATGGAGCAGGCCTGCAAATTGCTCCGGATCATATTCTTTTGGGGGATCATTGTCATCCTGTTGGGAGAGGTCATCTGCAAAAGGAAGGAAGGGATATTAGGGTTTATAAAGGGTTCTGAAAGTCACGATATAATAGCAGTGCCCTTCTGAACATGTGGGCATCCAGACATTTGATTTACTGCTACATAGCAATACCTTCACTTTTGAAATACCCATGACCTCACAGTGCCATGTATAGAATGAATGTATGAGTGTGTGTGCGTGTGTGTGCATGTGTGTGTGAATCATTCTTTCTGATATACCTTAGAGTTCATTTCAAAAGTATGAATTGTGTATTAATTGAGTGACTTCATTCTCTTCTCCCTTGAACCCAGGGTATATGTTTTATAGTCAATGAACAAAATTGAATTTTCTTAAAGTAGAACACATACATCTAAACTCTCACAGTAAATGAATCATCATGCAGTAGGACATTAGGCAGGTAAGTCAAGGTCATATATAATGACAACCCTCTGCTCTCCTCCCAGCAAATAAATTCAAAAATGAAATTTTGAAAAAAGGTATTATTAAAAGTAATTTAAGTTTACTAATCCTGATCATATTACCTTAAATATGAATTAAAAACAATTCTATGCAGATTACATAATTTGCACAAAAAAATTTGTTCAGACTTGATATAGGCAAACAATGCAATCCATAATATCAGAAAAAGAGAGACTCCGATACAAGAAACTAACTTTGAGCTATGAGCATAAAGGTAGCTTTTTCTTTCTTCTCTGAAATAGCATTAGCTATTTTCTAATTTCTTCAGACCTTTGAAGATATAATGCAGAAAAGAAACTGATGATGAATGATAATTTTTATTCCTTTGGATTTTTTTTTCTAAGATAAAACATACATTTTCTCTGAGATTTAAAATACACTATGCTTTTTGCAATTTAATTTGTCTTTTAAAGACATACTGTGTAAAAACCTGGCCAAAGAATTTAGCAAAGAAAGTAAGTGTACTTTTTTTCAGTGTTCATTTTAATTCAGATCAATAGCTAAATGTTGCCAAGATCAAAATTTAAATTACCTGATAAGCCCATAACTCACTGTTGCAAAGAACTAAAGTATAGCAAATGTGGTACATAATGACAACAAATCCAAAGTTGATTTGCTGATTCATACTTTCAATAAGCTAGTTATTACCATAAACCCCAAACACTAACATTTTTATAAATTAACAAGTAACATTTAATGGGTAAGTGCAATATTTACTAGGCACTGAATGAGGAATTATATTTATATCATCTCACTTGACACCCATAACAATCCTATAAAGTGATTATTAATAATAATTATGATTTTGTGATGGAAAGACATGGCCAAAATATCAAATTATCATATTTTTAAGAAATTGGCAACCATAATAAATCTCATTAGACATTGGCTCAGAAGATGCTACAGACACATCTGCTCTTTAGAGTGAAGATTGGCCCCAGGCCTCTATACTGCTGTCTGCCTGGGAACTGGTAAAAGCAGGTATATTCCTAGCTATGTATCTCTAGACTTCACCCTGGTTCCTGCTTGATTTTTCCAAAGAGAAGATGTTTGCCTGCCCAGCTATCATACCAGCATCCTGAGATTGAAGAAAGAAGAGTGACAGGAAGAGATCCAAGAAACATGAATCTACAAAAGCAACAATCTGCACCCATCTACTACTATTATACTCAACTATCTTCTCACAAAAACAAAACAAAACAATAAAACCTCATCCCTTTCTAAAATAGCCACACTGTCTTGATAACTCCCTATTTTGTTTTCCTTTCACAACAGAGACCATTCTAGGGGTAGAATAGTGAGTGAATAGGGGGATAAGGCAGCTTTGAATTCTCTCTAAAGACTAGAGTTTATCACTGAGTATGTGCATTTTTAAGAAGTCAAAATTAACACTTAGACAACTTAAGACACTATTTCTCCACCTAGTAAGTGATTAAGCTGAGATTCAGATTAAGGTCTATCACATTCTGACATCCATTGGACTTGCAAATATATTGCTATTAAAGATAAGCTTTTAAAAAATCTAGGGTTAGTTTATCCGTAGGACAAGCAAGTAGGCTCTTTGTAAAGAGAGACATGCTTCTCCTGTTCATGATTATATATCTGGAATTTGGGGAAAGTGGACTAAAAACATCAGAGCTTTTTCTTTGTTTTGCTTTGTTTTCTTCTTGGAGATAAGCTAATACTAAGAAGAAAACAAGACCTGGCATCTTGTTGCAATGCATTTTTTTTCCCTAGGCTACCTGGATCTCACATAGTACTTTACAACATAAGCAGGTTGGTATGGGTGACAATAATGGTGATTAAGGTGGCAGGAAGGAGGAATTCTGAAATAAGGAAGTTTTAGAATTTCATTTTGAAGGTTGCTGAAGAAGGATAAAGGGTCTCAATTTGAAAGGCAAATCGAGCCGGGCACGGTGGCTCACGCCTGTAATCCCAGCACTTTGGGAGGCCGAGGCGGGTGGATCACGAGGTCAGGAAATTGAGACCATCCTGGCTAACACGGTGAAACCCCTTCTCTACTAAAAATACAAAAAAACAAAAACCAAAAAACAAAAAAAAAGTCAGCCGGGTGTGGTGTCAGGTGCCTGTAGTCCCAGCTGAGGCTGAGGCAGAAGAATGGCACGAACTCGGGAGGCGGAGCTTGTGGTGAGCCGAGATCTCGCCACTGCACTTCAGCAGTCGAAAAGAGCTTGCCTACTGTGGGAAAAAGGTTCTGTAAATCTCAACAAAAGAATTTCTGACGATGTTCATTATCTAGAAAAATGAGAATTTTGGGGGCGTAATATTATTTAAAGTTTTCTGCAAATATTATTATTGGGTTACCATCCCCTCTGTAGTTTAACCACAATGACTATAATTACCACCCACAATGCTTTACACTGTCCAAGTCCTCTAGTCACAAGCAGTCACTTCTCAAAGTAAAAGATAATTTCGTTGTTAGCTTATAAAGCTTAGTTTTCTGAATAGCAGTTCTTAGCATTGTGATGGTAACATTTCTACCAAGAGTGATGAAAAGACAAATATTACTTGCTTTTCCCAGTGGCCAAATTCTAAAGATTATTCAAGTCAAAGAAAATGAGAAGTTGATATGAAGCCTCCTGGAAAGCCTGTGTCATGGATTGATTGCAGTTATGGCCCCAGTCTGCTCACAGCTCCCTGCAGACACAGCCCTCCCCTTATCCAGCCCTCCCATGCTGACTCCCTCACAGCGTGGCCTTGTGCCTTGAACTGCTCCATCAGACTGCAGCAAATGTGATACAAGCAGAGACCTGAAAAGCATGTGTGCATTAGACTTGTTCCCTTGTTGCTCTTGGAACCCTGACACCATATGAACAAGCCAGGCTGGCCTGCTGGATGATGAGGTGACACATTATCCAGCTGTTTCAAAATGTAGGCTTTATTATTTTTCAGGTATGTTGAAACCAACAGATCAGGAGACAATTGCCATTGAAAGACAGACGCTATACTCATTGATCCGAGAGGCACGCCACGTTGTAGGAGCCACACAGGGAAATACCAGGGTCCATCAGGAAGAGGCTGACAAAGTGAGGGGAGATTGTGGGCAAGAGCCTTTATTATGGTTTCCATGAAAAGAAACACACAAAGCAGGTATAAGCAGGTTTAGGAATGGCTAGTTTGAATAGTTTTAGCAGACTCTGGGGCATAGGAACTGTACCTAATTGTCTGGTCATTAGAGCAGGTGAATGAATAGTGGCCTAGAGAGTAAGAGCCAGATAAAGGAAGAAATTGGGGGTATGGGCTCTGCAATTGTTAATTTGCATAAGAAAAGCATGCTCAAGGGTGAGCTGTTTACTATCTCTAGGAATTAGTTAGCCCTAGGAGGGACAGTCCCTCCACAGCAAGAGCCCAAGAGACCGAAGGATAAAAATAAAAATACGCAAATAAAATAGAAAATAAAAAGACATGGTTAATACATCAGTCAGTCCTGTTACCCCAACCAAAAGCCAGCCAACTTCCACCTGTGAGAGTGGACGTACCAAACTCAGGCCATTCTGTCAATACCACTGATGCATCAGCAAGCACAGCCAAGAGGAGCTGAGGCTTTCCCAGGCCAGAAGAAGACACCCACCAGGATCATGAGCAATATTAATGGCCATTAAGTTTGGGATGGTTTGATATATGACAATAGATAACGAATTCAGTCTATATTCCAAGTTTTAAAGAATTAATATATTCTTCAAAATAAATTCTGGCAATGTTTCTATTTCCACATCTGGAAAATGATGATAGTAACAGAATACACCTAAAAGTGTTGTGAAGATTGAATGAAATCATAGAATAATAAATGTGCTAGTCCATTTGGGCTGATATAACAAAATTTCATAAACCGGGTATCTTACAAACAACAGATATTTATTTCTCACAGGCCTAGAGGCTGAGTAGTCCAAGATCAAGACACCAGCAGATTTGGTGTCAGGAGAGGGTTCATTTTCTGGTTCATAGAGGGTACCATCTTGCCTGGGTCTTCACATGGTGGAGGGAACAAAGGAGCTCTCTGGAGTGTCTCTTATCACCTCTCAAAAGGCCCACCTCCTATTACCATCATCTTGGGGGTTGGGATTTCAACATATGAATTTTGGTAAAACACAAATATTTGGACCATGGCAAGAAGTAAAGCAGTTAGAACAATATATGCTGCATAGAACACTAAGAATATGTTTATATTATTACAATAATAATTTTTAATCTATAGGGTTTCATTTTTACAAATACAGTAATAACTGTATTAGACACTCAATAAAGATTATTTTAACATAATAATCATGTGGGATTTACTCCTTTGTTTCTGTATATTTTAAAAAGTATACTTTGGAAAGAATTTTTTGTGCTTTCTTTAGACAAAACGGAGGCAAAATACACAGATGAAACTGTTGTCATAACTTGTCTCATTTAATTTTACACTTCTCTTTTGATAAGTGGGTATTTCATGCCAAGGTACAGAACTAAATACATGTGAATTCCAATCTGATAGCTATTCAAGGCATCATTAGCATTTCAAAGAAATGTC